TACTAGTTTTATTGATTAACAGTTTTGGGCGTCTTTAATAATTGATCAATATTTATTTACTTTCTTCTTATTATTATTTAATAGCATATCTCATTGTTTACAAATATAAATACGATATGAGTGTGATACTCGATAAATACGATTAAAGAGTGTATCCGTATTATTAGCAAAATTAACACATACATCGCAAGAGTGACGTGTTATACATTTTTTTAAGAGATACCCTGTTACGTAGACTAAGGCATTTCCTTCAGGATTTTTTAAATTAATATAATCGTTAGTTAAGGCCCTAAGATTTTTTAAATTAATATAATCGTTAGTTAAGGCCCGTAAGGTAATAAAAGTACCTTTGCATACAACTTGTGTTGCCATTGTCAATTTTTTGGAATTTTTTCTAAATTTTATGATTATTTTTTTTTCTTCAAATGCCTTCTTCGTTGCGAAGGTTGGCAATCATCAGTGCTACACGTATTCGTGACACAGCCGACCGAAATAGTTGGTTTGTGGTGCACCCGAACCAGTCACGTAAGTTTCTCATCCATGAGTGGCGCCTTCTTTCTACACTTCTCTTTCCTTGAATTTTTCCTTGTAATATCAGTTGGAGTAGATGGTACTTTTCTCCTCTCATGTCGTGTCCAAGGTACTGAAGTTTACGCTTTTTTACCGTTATGATAATTTCTTTTTCCTTTTTTATTCTTTTCAGGATTTCCATGTTGGTCACTTTATCGGTCCATTTTACCCTAAGTATTCTACGGTACAACCATATTTCGAATGCCTCTAGTTTCTTTATGTCAAGTTTCTTCAGAGTCCAAGCCTCTACACCATAATACAGCACCGACAAAACATAGCATCGCACCATTCTGATTTTTAAATCCAAGCTGAGATCACTACCACGGTTTCCATAATTATAATATACTTAATATGTCTAATACTTTAATTATTATATACTTAATATCCGAGTTAATATACTATACTATATAAACATATACCTTCCTTCATCTTTTGGGCACCTAAAGAACGATATATTGTCTGTCATTCTACTTTCACAACCATCCACTGCACAAATATTTCTAGTAGTCATTTTATTCACTATTCGAAGAAAACAACAATATTTTTGGTTCACCCTATGCGTCGGACCGAAAACAAAACTAAAATAAACTTGGAACGCTGTGTACACGTCGAGCAACGGATGTAGACTGACCCAAGTCTACAAGACAGGCGGGGAGCGGCGGGAGGAATTTTGATACGGGCGAAGAGTGGGCCAACTGATATATTTATATTCTTTAAACTGTGCTATAACCAGGGACAAGACAACGAGATTCTTCTTAGTCCCAGCCCGTGCTAGAGGGGATTCCCCCTAGCACCTGACTCCCTACCAACAATAAGATCTAGAATCTCCTAGGGGAATTACCGAATTAATTATCGAAAAAAAACATTCCCCATATAATTTTACATATAAAATGACAGCGATCTTCATTCCATAGCCATCGCTGATGCCGTTTTTTTTTTCTATCATACGGTAGCAGGTGACACCGAATCCCATAAGTATATCACCATAAATATCCCACCTCCCGAACAGCAACACCAACAGTTTCACTCATTTGACACACAGCTGTCACTGTCAGGAATCCTCGCGTTGGACAGACTACAGATCCATTCAAATACTAAAATAACTTAAATTAATATATTAATGCCCTATTACTTTGTAGTGACAACTTTTACTACAAACAAAAACCATCTACTTTGTTTACACTAAACCGATCAATTAAAAATTATAATACCTATCCCCACCATAATAAAAACTGTACAAATAAAAACCTAATATACAGTACATAGATTATCACCCGATACTTTAGCACTAATAATTAAAGCTTTACATAAGACTATTATTTGGCAGGAAACATCGATCTAGAAAAGAAATTGGATAGATTTATATAAACGCGCTTTAATTCACTTTGCAATAAGAGAAGAAACCAGATCTATCGTTACTTATGATTTAAAAAGTGTTAATTAATGTGTCATAGATATTTCGTAAGATAATGATACTTTACTCATAATACACGGTAGAGATTATCTCGTATAATATTAATAAATTGATAATCCTTTCTATACATACAAATGTTTGTATTTAATATGATAAACATTTGCAAACTTCTCTTTTCATAAACTTTAAAATATTTTTTTTTGTTATTATTAAAAATTTCACATTTTACATTTGTTCTATAATGAAAAAAAAGCCTTTGTTTAAAACTTTTTTAGTGCCAATTTAATTTTTTTCTCTTCTTCAACAATTAAGAAGCAAGAAGCACTAACAAGTTCTAACAACTGCACTTGACATTGAATATAATGATACAATTCACTTGCAATTAAGTGTCTAGATAATTTAATAGATTGCCTTTAGTTTAGAATATATACTACATATCTGTCTAGATTATATCTCAATCTCCTCTATCTAATGAACATGTTTAATTTTTGTTATTGATTACGTGTATTGATTATTTCGATTCCAAGTGTCTTGAGAGCGGTTTCTCATACAGATTTTTTCTAAAAGACTATTTTATGTAAAAAATGGCGAAAATGTATATTTTTTCTTCGGTAGTGTAATACAACAATGGACCCTTAAAAACAGTTAAAAATATGTATTGGCGCCCCTAAAAGTAGGAGGTATACTAATATCGAAATAGAATTTCTGATACAGGGTTCGGTAATAGTGGCATCAGGCATCTGTAGCTGATATAATAAAAAACTTAGGAATTTTGTATAATTGCAAACCTAAAGGATGTACTAGGAAGTGTGATGTACGCTCAAAAAAATGTGAGTAACAAAACAAAAAAACACCCTATATATTATTGTATTTTTGGCTTCCTTTCTGAGCACTTTACATAATCCTAAGATATGAGTAAATATAGTTGAATAGTTTTAGAGATATCAATAAAATAAATCTATACTAATATGTAAAATCCTTAAGTGACTGACACACTGATTAATCACGATCCTGCTCAAACCACTCAACGTAAGAAGCTCAATTTTGGTATACAGGTTGATTCTAGTGTGTAAAGGTTCGATAAGAAGGGATTTTTCGAAATTCCAGTTCCAAGAGGGTGAAACCACCCCTCAAGTATTACAATATTTTTTATTTAAAAAACGGTCAAGTTTCCTAAAAAACGCTAAAACAAGTATATTATATTTTGTATTTTTACATATTTTTAGATTTTTTTAAAAATGTATACAGAGTGTTTCGAAAAATCTGGTCATTGATTAATCACGATCCTGCTTAAAGCGCTTGACGTAAAAAGCTGATTTTTGGAACACGGATTGACATTAGGGTGTAGAAATTCGCTAAGAAGGAATTCTTCGAAACTCGAATTCTCTGGGGGTGAAACCACCCCTCAAATATTAAAATATTTCTTATTTAAATACCGGTGAGTTTTTCGGAAAAACTCTTAAACACGTATATTTTATTTTGTTGTTTTACATATTTTAAGATTTTTTGAAAATTTATACAGTGTTTCATAAAATATGACCATTGAGTAATCACGATTCTGCTTAAACTGCTTGACGTTTAAAGCTGATTTTTGGCAAACGGATTGACTGTGGGGTGTAGAGGTTGGATAAGGAGGGGTTTCTCGAATTTCAAATTCGAAGAGGGTGAAAACGTTCCTCAAATATTACAATATTTGTTATTTAAAAAACGGTTAGTATTTCGGGAAAACGCTTGGACACCCATAATTTATTTTGTTTTTTACATATTTTGATTTTTTTTTTAAATCGTACAGGGTGTTCCAAAAAGTTGGGTAATTCCTTAACCACGATTCTGCTTAAATTGTTTGACGTAAAAAGCTTATTTTTGGCAAACGAATTTGTCGAAAGTCAAATTCCAACGAGATAAAACTACCCCTCAAATATTACCAAGTTATATAATAATATAGCCATATTGTTTTTTCTCATGCTGACATAAATGTGAGAAAATTTTATCCAGTTTGTATGTTAATGAAAATTCTTGCTTTGCTTTATCATCACCATTACAAATGATTAATTAGACGCGAATGAAGTCGCGGGTACACGCACACGCTAGTAAAAAATATATATTTTTCAACCTTTCTTAAAAAAATTATTAAAAAAAAGAAATCTCTTGAAATCAAAACTATATTAAGTATTTACTTTAGATGGTCTGTACTTACTTTGCTATAAGTATATTGAAATCTTATATCATACAGAGGGTTCAAAATTCTACGCCAAAATTTCTAAAATATAAAATAGTTTTTCTTATTTTTTTGTATGAGACATCATGTATATGATTTCTGTATTATTACAGAAATCATATACAAAGTATTTCGAAATTTTTAACAGTTTCGCAGATATTCGCGGTTTTACATTTCATATGGCATGGAGAATTAAAAAATGAACATTTTTTGTATTTAAAGTATTTCGAAATTTTTAACAGTTTCGCAATTATTCGCGGTTTTACATTTCATATGGCATTTTCCACAGTAATTTTTTATCAAAGCCAAAAAAAAAGTTCACTTTTCCATTCCCTAATCAACAAAGCAAATAATATACAGGGTGTTCCATTAAAAAAAATATATTTTATATTTAAGAGAGTTTGGCGTAGAATTTTCAATAGCCTGGTATGATTTAAGATTGCGATATTTATAGCAAAGTAAGAACAGGCCATCTAAAGTAAATACCTAATATAGTTTTGATTTTAGGAGAGTTCTTGTATACTTAATATTTAAAAAAAAGCTGAAAAAATATATTTTGTAAGTATTTATTTATTAATATCTCTGAAACATATTTAAAAATACCTTAGGATCATGTAAAGTGATCAGAAAGGAAACCAAAAATTCAATAATATACAGAGTGTTCCATTAAAAACAAATCATCACGATCCACTCACACTTTTTTGAGCCCCCTGTAGGTGTTAAATTAATTTCCTGAAATACATTCTAATACATACTTTAGGTTTGCACATAAACAAAATTCCTATTTTTTTATTTTAGGATGCCCGACGCACTATTGTCGAACCCTGTATAATATAAATACCCAGAAAGGAAATTTTACCTAAATATCGGGTTTAGTTCTGAAATTATTTGAATAAAACCAAAATAGAACTGAAACTTCTATAACCAGTGCAGGCAGCATCTTTCGTGAACGTAAGGTACCAAATACTTATACACAGCTCGGTACTGACCAAGACGAGCCGTCAGATGCACCCATCAGTGAAAGTACCGACATACCACCGAAACGGTGAGCGGATGGTCGGTCGATGGTACCGTCGATGGGGTTCCATTAAAGAGTACGACGATTCGCGCCCAAAACCCTCTCCATGTTTGATGATCGCACTCTCTATATATACACACCTCGCCAAGGGGTAGTACATCAGTAGTTTTGTAGTCATAGTTGTACACACATAGTCATGAAACCGTTTGTGGTAAGTGTCCCGAATCATTTTCTGTTTTACTATTTGTTTACAAGTTATACAGGGTGAGTCTTAAATAAGTGCAAATATTTTTAGAGGTAGTAGCATAGTATAAGCAAACTAGTAGCTTTACTCCTTGTCAAATCCTTTGTTCTTTTTCTGCCACTTTGTATGACCCTGTTCCCGCGTCCCGACCACTGACGTAGCTGTATAGTCGTGGTCTATAACTAGACAAAGTATAGTCGTGGCACTCGCCATAGATTCACAGAGATGTATTTAGGAAAATATGAGTTCACAATAAAATAAAATAAAATAAATTGATCATCGAGTAAATATTTGCTTGAAAACAAAATATTTTCACATTTCGTGTAAGTAACAATTCTTCTGTATCTGATAATCTTCTGATGGGAAGAAATGCGGAAAAAATATATAATGACATATTTTTATATTATTATTTATTTCAAAGATTTTCTACCATTTTTTTTAAATTTAAAACAACTTTAATTTTAACATTAATGTGTTTTTTTTGTAGTAAGATATTGGTTAGGTGATTTTCATTGGATAACTAATACATTCAACAAAACATTGTACTAAATAATAAAATATCATATTTAAACTTCAATAATTGCTAATAAACATTACAGAAATTTAAAAAGAGAAAAGAAGCAGGAACAATGAGAAATAGCATCACTACTTTCGGGAATTAATAAGTTCGAGTCCCGGTTTTTTGATATCTCAAAAGAACCGGGAATTTACGGTTGTGAACACTAGTTACCATATTAACAAGAAATTTATGTTTTTTAACTAAAAACTAAAAAAATACTTTCAAAAAAAATTGCGCAGAAAAATCCTCATAATTCTGGGGCCAAAATAGACTACCCCTAAAAATATTTGCACTTATTTAAGACTCACCCTGTAGAGGGCGATTCACGGTTATGGTACGTTATAGCGTTTCCGGAACCGGAGCTGATTTTCTGAACCGGTAATTTCGGGACCATGCCTCTAAGGAACCGGGATTTCCAATTTTTTTTCGGTACTAGCAAATTTTTGTTCAATTATGGTGTAGTTCGTTAGACAGCAAGGAAGGGATGGTTGTCAAAAGTAAAATCGACAAAAAATTGAGGTTAAAATGGAAATAATATCAAATTATTAAGTAGTAATCAGTCATGAGAAAATTAACCTGAACACAAACATGATCACAAATGACTCTCAAAAAAAAACTCAAAGCACAATTTTTTGAATAATTACTACTAATAACAGCACACAGTAAGGAACTCATTTTTTGTCAATCCGTCTCTGTGCTGGGACGCAACGCCCGAACCTCGCAGGCCGACGGACGGAGCTCAACTGAAACGCTCTGCAATCTGCCGATATTAGACAGATTGTAAAAACTGGCAGAAAATATTTGGGAGAGTGCAACTACTCTTTTCCTTCTACCTATGGTAGTAGTACATTTCGACCCCAGAAACGCGATTACGAGTTTTTTTTGCGATTTTTTTTTTAATTTCAAATGTTTTCGGTTTTTAGTTAAAAAACATAAATTCTTGATAATATGGAAACATTGAAAAAGATCAAGTGGTTCCCAAAATTTGAGCAAAAATTTTTTTTTGAAATTTTCAAAGTAAAATACCTCAGTTATTTTGGAGTTATTTGAAAAACGGTAAAGAGAAAATATGTTTCTTTTATCGAGATCTACCAGCCCTGAAAATATTTGCACTTATTTAAGACTCACCCTATACAGGGTGCTACAAATTCGAGGTACGAGCATTGGTATCTCGGAAACCGTAATAGATAAGAAAATGGTTAAATTTGGGCAAAGTTGCGCCTTGGGCTGTTCACCAAGATGCTTTCAAAAAAGTTTTAAAAATTTCAAGGATTGCTGAGTTTTTTGGAAAAAAACGGACTGTTTTGGAAACTAATTTTATTTTTTCCTGTCGTTACTTTTTAGAAATTCAAAAAACTAAATGCACATTCTCATAGCGACTTTATTAGGGCTATCTGATAGTATTTTTAGATTTTCAAATTAGCTGATAATTTGTGAGATACAGTTTACAAGTTTGAAAGCTTATCAATGTTGTAACGATGAATATAGGTATTAAATATTAAAAAAAAACAGAGCCCGACTTGAAATTAGTTTAAATAAATTAGTGTCTAAATTTCCAAACAAAAAAATTAAGTGTGGCATATCGTTGTACTCAGGAGAGCGAGTTCTTTCAAAATCTGAAATAAAAAATGCAGGTCCGTATTTAAAAAAATTAAGTTGGCCTCTGTATCTCACAATGTATCAGCTAATTTGAAAATCTAAAAATACTATCAAATAGCCCTAATAAAGTGGCTATGAAAATATGCAATTAGTTTTTTGATTTTCTAAAAAGTATCGGCAGGAAAAAATAAAATTGATTTTCAAAAATATCCGTTTTTTCCAAAAAACTCAGCAATCCTTGAAATTTTTAAAACTTTTTTGATGGCGTCTTGGTGAACATCCCAAAGCGCAACTTTGCCCCAATTTAACCATGTTCGTATCTATTACGGTTACCGAGTTACCAATGCTCGTACCTTGAATTTGTAGCACCCTGTATATACAATGTCTGACTATCAAAAACATGTTTTCAGTATATAAAATTACTAATTATATACTGTTTAACGTTTTTAGGAATATCGTGCTATTGAAAAAAAACAGCGTCACAGTCTCCATTCAAATCTATGATATCTTCTGTCAACTCGATAGCTATCTGTTAATTGTTAAAAAATTGACATAAAAACATATCAAATATATTATTTAATTTTGTATCTATTTCCAAAAAATAATTCAAATGGCTTGTTTGAAAGCATTTCATTTTTTTTAATATTATTGTTTGACAAGTTTTATATCAATTTGTACAACACATAAAGGTGACATCATCAACTAAAAATCAATTTTAACTTAAAATATCGTGTCTATGTTAAATATAATATGTCGAATTTATTTTTTTAATCTCCCCTGTATACAAAACAATATATTTAAAAAAAATTCTAAGCACCTTCATGAGACGCAGAGCTATAACAGTAACATAACAACATATAACTTAATGACAGCTATAACTTAATAAAAATTGTTTTTAAATTAAAGTAATATTCAGTTAAAATGTTTAGTTTTGAAATGTGGAGTTGGCTCTACAAAACAATTTTTAATTCAAATACCAATATGACGCCGTTTTTTTATCATGTTATGGCTCGTTAATGTTAAAAAATTAATATCGAAATACTTGTTATGTAGAATGTTAGGTATGTCGTCTTGTTTGAACTTAAGACTTAAGCTTCATTCAGAACCTCGCAATTAGTGGAATAAGTTAGTGGTTTCAATTAGTTTAGAAGTTTGTTTCTTTAATTTCAATGTAAGCATTCAGAACGTCAAAATTAGTGGACATTTTCAATTAGTAGAAAAAGTTATCAAACTTTTAATTTTTCCGCTATTTATACTTCAAAATTTGCGAGAGATGTCATTTTGGCCTTTGATTATCTTCCGTCAAGAGAAATTTTGGTTGGAAATCAAAAGTTGATTGTTTTATAAGCTAAATATTAGGCTTTCTCTATGGATACAACTGACTAACCCAAGCTGTTGCTAGGATATTCTATTAATTTTAATTGTGTTGTTTAAACATTGTGAATGATCGTAAACTAAAAAGTAAGTATAAAGTGTGATTGAAACCACTAATTTATTCCACTAATTGCGAGGTTCTGAATGAAACTTTAGAGTTTGCAATTTAGTTTTTGTTTAAGAATACTACCCGTAGTTTTAACGTATTTTGGAATAAAAAAGGTCACACAAACTTATAAGACTGTTACCTACATTTCAGATAGCAGCAGTGCTACTAGCAATCTGCTGCAGCTCATATGCAGGAGAGGCTAGCAAAAAAAGCAACGAAAAACGTGGTATCTTGTCCACCAGCGTCGGAAACGGATACGGAGGCGGTTCCCTTGGAGGTGGTAGCTACGGAGGGCATGGCGGAAGCAGTTACGGTGGTAGCTATGGAGGTTCTATCTCGGGAGGTAGCTACGGAGGTCACGGTGGGAGTTCTCTAGGAAGCGGTAGCTATGGAGGCGGCAGTTATGGAGGCTCTATCTCAGGAGGTAGCTACGGAGGACACGGAGGAAGCTCTTTGGGTGGAGGTAGCTACGGAGGCCACGGAATCAGCTTAAGCAGCGGTAGTTATGGAGGAGGAGGGGGTGGTTATGGAGGATCACTCGAAGGTGGCAGCTACGGAGGATCTATCGGAGGTCATGGTGGTGGAGGTAGCTATGGTTCTATTAGTGGAGGTGACTTGGGTGGTCACGAAGGAAGTATCTCCATCGGAGGTGGTGATTTAGAAAGTCATGGAGGATTTGGAGGTAAGAAAATACAGAGTGACCAAGAATGCACTGGTAGCCTACATTTTATAGTTATTTTTTATACAAGACATCAAACCGAAAAGATTAATTAATTTAATCTTTTTTTTAAATTAATAAATTAATTTCGGGAGACGATAATACAATTTTATCGTCGTGTTTAAAACAATATTTTTTTCCATAACGAGTTACGTTTTAAAAACAATATTCAGAAATTATTATTTCGAGGAATTTATTACGAGTAGAAAAATATTGTGCTGGGTTGGCGTTGGTTTGTAATTGTAATTTGACAAATAAATAAGCTGTCTCTTTAGTTGTCAGTTTTGAGTCAACATTCTTTAATTCACTTTTTTTTTCTCTCTGATATTTTGATAGATATAAGGCAATTTTAACAGTTGCTATGGAAAAAAATATCTTTTAGTTTTTAGTATTTAAATTAGCAATAAATTTGTTACACAATTTCCAAAAAAATGCCATTATTTTTTAGGTGGTCTTGAAGGAGGTTATGAAGGAGGATACGGAGGAGGTTCCGGAAGTGGATTTGGAGGTGGATATGGCGGTGGATCTGGAGGTGGATTTGGAGGTGGATTCGGAGGTGGATTCGGGGGTGGAGCCGGAGGTGGTGGAGGTGGTGGTGCTACTATAAATACGATCACTAGAACTGTACCTGTCCCAGTACCACAACCCTACCCAGTTACCGTGACCAGACCAGTACCAGTGCCTGTGGCTCAACCCGTTGCTGTACCTGTACCAAGACCAGTACAAGTAAGCTATCCCATATTATACAGGGTGTTTCAGAAAACATGTGCCAACTCTAGTGGGAGATTCCTCGCGAAAAAATATAATTTATTTTTAATATCAACATAGGTCCGGTCCGATTGTGCTTTATTTCATAGATACAGGTGGTTAAAGTTTTAGTATTTTTTCGATCTTAAATAAGTGCAAAGATTATTAGGGGTAGTATATTTCGACCCCATTTTGTTCGCGAAAAAAAATCAAAATTTGGAATTTTTTGAATTTTTTTTTAGTTTTTAGTTAAATTTTATTTAGTTAAATTTGTTGATAATATCACAACATAAGTAGTAGATTAAATTTACAAGAAAGAAAATCCAGAAAAGATCCAGTGGTTCTCAAAATTTTAGCAAAAAATCATATTTTTTGGAAATTTTCAAAGTAAAATATCTCGTTTATCTTAGATTTACTTGAAAAACGGTAATGAGAAAATATGTTTCTTTTATCGAGTTCTACCAGGCCTGAAAATATTTTCACTTATTTTAGATTCACCTTGTATATGAGACATATTTTAATGCTAAAAAAGTGTCGACATATTCATCAGGGACGTGCATATGGGTTATCACTGGAATGTTTTTCAAAAAAAATGTACGGCACTGACTTTTTTTCTCTTGTTAGCGAAATTGTATTTAATTGGCATTAAGCGGCTTATCTACGTCCCTGATGAATCTACCTACACTTTTTTAGCATGAAAATATGTAACACTTATAGCTTATAGTAACTTTTAATCCAATCAGTAAAAGTATTTGGAAGAAAATTATAATTAAATAAAAATAAATATTATTTCTATGTGAGGAATCTCCCCACGAGAGATGGCACATGTTTCTTGAAACATATTGTATGTCATTCTTCAAAAAAACACAATTGAAGTGAGAACCTTCTCATCAACTGCAAAATAACACTAGTTTGATGCAGTTTGATTTCTATTGCTCTTGGCTCATCTTACATATTCGTTTTCTTAATTTATCTTTTATTTCAGGTATCTGTACCAGTTCCACAACCCGTAACAGTGCCACGTCCAGTTCCAGTAACCGTACACCGTCCAGTTCCGGTTGCAGTACCAACGCCAGTACGAGTTCCAGTCCCACAACCCGTTCCAGTTTCAGTACCAGCACCGTACCCGGTCACCGTACCACAACCCGTACCAGTTAGAGTACCCCAAACGATCGTAGTTCCTGTAGCCCAACCAATCTACGTTGGCGGAGGTGGTGGAGGCGGCGCTGGAGGTATTGGAGGAGGGTCTGGACTTGGTGGAGGCTACGGAGGAGGATACGGAGGAGGTTACGGAGGTGGATATGGAGGTGGATACGGAGGTGGCTCCAGCGGAGGCTTCGGAGGAGGACATGGCGATGAAATTAGTGGATCAATCTCAATTGGATCGAGCTCAATAGGTGGAGGTCACGGATCGAGTTTAGGAGGTGGATATTCCGGTGGATACTCTGGAGGTTTGTCATCTTACGGAAAAGGTGGATCAAGTATATCTTCGATCAGTATAGGAAGCAGTGGAGGTAGCGGTGGTTACTCCAAGTACTGAACAGAAAGAGCATCGTTTTTCATGTTGTAAATAGGACTCATCATCTCTTCATTCTTTGTAAATGCATCAAAACTACTGTTTTTTTCATAGGTTGTGATAAAGAGTATTATATTATATTTCTTGTAAATAAGGCACTGTGTAAGAAATAAAAACTATATTTAAGTAAAAAAGCAAATATTTTATTTATCTATAATATTGTTTTTTTTTTTCAAACGTCACAAAAGTATAAATTTTTGCGACGTGATTGACAATACAAAAAAGTAATTTTAACGCCTAGTTTGGCCTAGGCATAAAAGTAAAACACTTTTACGCCTAAGCATAAAAGTACAAAAATATATCTATTAATAATCTGATATAAAGTGTAAAATTCAACGAGCCGTAACCATAGTCTCTCGATATATAATTATATACAAGGTATGATTTAAATATTTTTATATTATTTGGAACGTTTGAAATTGTTTAAAAAATTATTTATGGCGTTTCAAAAAAATAGCATGTTCTATTTGGAGTAAAAATTACTCTTTGTGCCTCGGCTGTAATGTCAAACGAACAGCCTCGCCACAAAAAGTATTATTTTTACTCCTAATAAAACAATATACTATTGTTTTTTCAAACGTCACAAAAGTATTAATTTCTGCGACACAAATATACCGTATTATCGAAAAAAAACGGCGACCAGTGGGCTTTGGAATGAACATCGATAATATTCCCCATATAAATTTACATATAAAATGACAGCGATCTTCATTTCATAGCCATCGCTGACGCCGTTTTTTTTTTCGATTATATTGTATTATTAAACCTCTGATTAATCTGACATAAAGTGTCAAATTCAACGCGCGTAACCATAGTTTCTCGATATACATACGAGCATAATTACTTACAAAGTATTACTTTTAAATATTTTTATTTTATTCGGAACGTTTGAAATTGTTTAAAAGTTTTTTTAAAAAATTAATATTCAGAAGGATAACTATATGTTTATAGGTATACTTTTATAAATAATTATATATGGTGGTTCAAACGTTTCAGTTAAAAAAAAACTAAAAAACAAATTTGAATTGAACCACCAGTAAAACTACTTAGTAAAAATACTTACCACTACGAGTAAAAATACTTATTACAGTGTGAGTAGTACATTTCGACCCCAGAAACACGATTATGAGATTTTTTTCGCAAAAAAAAAATAAAAATTTTAAATTTTTCAAAAAAAAACTTTGGATTTTTTTTTTAGTTAAAAAACATACTTTATTGGTAATATGGCAACATAGGTAGTAGATTAAATTTATTATTATTAAGAAAGAAAATCCAGAAAAGATCAAGTGGTTCTCAAAATTTTAGCAAAAAATAGATATTATTTTTTTGTAATTTCCAAAGTAAAATAACTCGATTATTTTGGATTTATTTTAAAAACGGTAAAGAGAAAATATGTTTCTTTTATAGAGATCTACCAGCCCTGAAAATATTTGTACTTATTTAAGACTCACCTTGTATAATAAAGGACATAATTTAAGGGACACCCTGTATAATATAAAAAATACTGAAACATGCGATCTCAAAATTTAATAATAATACTTTTAGCCAAGGACGCTTAAAACGATTTATTTAAATAATTATCATAGTATGAACAAATACGATGTATACCATTTGCAGTGATTTCATCGATATTCAGTAACAATATTTATTTATGTCCCTAAACAGATAAGATTAAAACCTATTAATGTTATAGAACAAGTTCAATATCCATTGTGGCACTTACTTTTACAATTTATTATTTATTATGGGACTTTGATAAATGAGCTGTTTAGGTTTAGATTTAGTAGTGAAAGTGTTTTTTTACTGAAGAATGAAAAGTTGAAACAACCTATTTTCCAAATATGACTGTCTCTTATTCCAAGGAAGTAAGCACTAGTACGGGAATTGGAATATTTCTGAAATTATTGCTAAGGTAAGGACAAGGCTTTAGTTAAAAATCGGCGTCAAAGATTGCTTAGAAATGAAGACAAAGTCAAAAGCGTTTTGTATATAAAATTATATATGGGAAATGCCATCGATCGTCATTTCCAAGCCAACTGTTTTTTTTCGATTATTGTTGATATATTGTTGATTATAGGCAGCGGCGTAGCGTGGCGTCAATACAAGGGGTGTAATAAGTAACTGTAATTAACATTTTACCAACATAATAAAGTTTTTTTCTGTTTTTTTTTATTAAAGACTTTAATTTTTAAGTTACACAAATAAAATATACAAAAAATGTAACAGGTTAAAAAAATAATCAAACTAATTTTAAGAAAAAACTAAAACCGGTAAAAAAACAAAGCCGTAAACGTATCTGTTAGATAAAATGTAGACAAGGCTAAAAAAAGTTTATTGAGTGCCTTACAACCACATAAGTGTTCACTTTTATAAACATTTTCACTAAAATGACGAATACACGATTTTAATTTAGTATTAATATTCAAAATATTATGCTTTGGGGTCCTTATTCATTAGTTTTTAATTTTTCTGAATACACCATAGAAGTGAAGGATGATTGCAAAATTATTTCTATCTTACAGTCGCACTCAGAATTTCAGTTACTTTTTAAATAAAAATGTATTACGATATTTTGAAGTCATGCGACCCATCACCCGCATCATTGGAAGCTTCACCCCTGAAGTAGTAGAGATGTGCGATTCTGTACAATAATCGATTTTTTTCTATCTATCTAGATCGAATGATCGCGAATCGATACAAGAAAATTCGTAAACGAAAAAATCGATCTTAGTGAGAATCGATCGTTTTAGCCGACCATACCAACAGGTATGGTAGGCTATTAAGATCGGCAAAAAAAAAGTTTTTTTTAATTTCACTCAAAATGAGTTATTTGGGTCATAAATGACCTAAATACAAAGTCCGTCTGTCCATCTGTCCGTCTGTCCGTCTGTCCGTCTGTCCATCTGTCCGCCTGTCCGTCTGTCCGTCTGTCCGTCTGTCCGTCTGTCTGTAACACGATAACTCAAAGACCGCTAAACCGATTTTAACCAAATTAGGCACAAAAATACTGTGGTACCCGAGAATCTGGCCATTAGTTTTTGGTGGGGGTGGGGGGTTGGTAAGGGGGTATGGGAGTGGGTTAAACATTTTTACAAAATTACAGTAGCTAGCGAAACGCGGTTTTCAATTTAAGATTAGGAATAATATTTGCAAGAAAATTTGTAATAACATCAAAATCAGTCAAAGTCGCAGTTTTTGAGATAATTGAAACGAAAAGAACTACCTACCAACTTTTTATTAACATATTTTAGTATGGGCGGTTACACGTGCCTCCCGGCGCCAATTTTTCTTAATTCAATTTTTGACTCTGATTTTCCTTTTTAATTTTTTTTTTAAATTTTTATTTTAAATTAAAAATAAAAATATACATGTATTTCTATTTTTTATGACTTCTTTTATACACAAAGACAAAAAACATAAAACAAATTATACAAAAAAAGTATAATGGATATTCTGGATAATACAGCAGCAAGCAAAATGACTTTAGGTTGTCGATCTCGATCTAAAAGAATCGATTCTATAAAAATTCGCTTTTGAATCAATCGACTCAAAAAATCAGGAATCGCATGTCAAAAGATCGATTTTCTGAAGAATCGATTTAAATCGAACATCCCTAATAATGGACCATCCTGTGCATCTATTTATTTCTATTAACGGATGGTGAAGTGATTTAAAAAAGTACTTTTACTTTTTTCTAGATGGAAAGGCAGTATATACAAAATAGTTTGGCCAGATCTAGTATTATATTTGATGATATACTACGCCCTGAACCTGCTTTATGTGTATGGATTAAACGAACCAACCGGAAAAGAGTAAGTCATATAAATATGTATTTAATAACATCATACGGTCATTTGGAATATACAGAAATGTTTATTTTTTTTATAGCATTTTCTATATCATTCAGTAAGTAATCCCTTTCATAGTGAAAGTTAAAATTTGTATCAGTTCGATTGTAGTGCCATTGACCTCTAAATTCGTTACCACTTGATTTATTTCTTTATGTCTATTTAATATACTTTACGCAGCTTTACAGAACCCTCTGTAGATATGTATACAGGGTTGTTCACCACATACGACACGGAGTATTGTGGCTAAACGATTAGATTTTTACAAATTGTAAGTTTTGGGTTCGTTGAAGGACTATTAGAGCTACAATTTAAAAATATTTTTACAAGATACAGAGTGCTCCAAATAAGTAAAAAGTAATATAGTTTTATTTTTTTTAAATGGAACACCCTGTATATTATTCTATTTTGGATTTTACGATTGAAATAAAATTAAATTTGATTAAGGTTTATCACACTTAAATCTTACCGTTTTTGAAATATTTTCAATTTTATGAAATTGCAGTAAAAATTTTAAGGCTTCATTTCTCCAAGGATATCAAAGTTATTAATACTAAATATTTACTGAAGATTATTTATTGATCAGATATTGGGTCTTGTGAATAAAAGTTAAGCAAATGCTTTTACTTAAATTTCTTGAAAAATAGACTTATACAATTTGTAAACAACTAACAGAGATAGTTCTATAGAAAAAGCAATTGCTTCTCTTTATTCATCAGGCCCATTGTGTTGCAATAATAACAATTTTATTACCTTATACAGAGTGTCCAAAAATTTATATTAAATAATTACTAGCTTTAAAATTGCAATAACCTGTTTAATTTAAATGGAACACCCTATATATTTTACGTGAATCAGATGCACATGTAATTGTCTATCAAATTGTATTATACCATTTTTTACCCATCTCTTCAAGTTTTTGTAGAAAATGCATTTTCTTATAATTTAGGCCTGATTTATCACTATACCCATGGAATATTGACATTTCAGATTTTTTTTTATAGCACTACAAAATGTACAGGTGGTAAATGTTACAAACCCATTGGCATACAAAAGAAAAACTATTTAACTATTTGTAAAAGAGTATACCAATTAGATATACCACAATTATTTCTGACCAAAAACACCAAAAACTAGTTAATTGCATACTTTTAAATTGTTTTAATTAATAAAGTACTCTAAATAAATGTAGATTTGGCTCAGAAATCAATATAATATAAAGTTATGAAAATGAACGTCTCTGTTTTTATAAATAAGCATTTGTCAAAAAATGAAATAAAATTTATAAGGTGTTACTTTTTACCATACTGTCTAATACACATACAAAATTCTGTTTTTTAGTATTTGTAGCAATTATTATTAATGAACGTAAACAGTCAATTAATGTAGATTGAATAATGGGGTCATATTAATTGGTCCTCTTTAACAAAAAATATTTAAACAGTTTTTTTTGATATTTTAATGAAATAAGCGAACTATATCGATAATATTAGTATCTATACTCTTTGAAAATGTGTTACATCTTTAAAAATAATCTAAAATGTCAATATTCCATGGGTATAGTGATAAGTGAGGTCTAAATTATAAGAAAATACATTTTCTACGAAAACTTGAAGAGAGAGGTAAAAAATGGTATAATACAATTTGATAGACAATTAAATTGTGCATCTGATTTTCGTATACAGGGTGTACCATTTAAATTAAAAAAGTTATTGCTGTTTAAATCTAGTAATTATTTAATATACATTTTTAGACACTCTGTATAAGGTAGTATTTTGTTTATTACTGCAACACAATATCTGATCAATAAATAAACTTCAGTAAATATTTAGTATTAAAAACTTCGATACCCTAGGAGAAATGAAACCTTAAAATTTTTACTGCAATTTCATAAAATTGAAAAAATTTGAAAAACGGTAATGTTTAAATGTGATAAACCTTAATCAAATTTACCTTTATCACAATCGTAGAATCTAAAAATAGAATAATATACAAGGTGTTCGATTTAAAAAAATACAACTATAATATTTTTTACTTATTTGAAACACTCTGTATCTTGTAAAAATATTTTTAAATTGTAGCTCTAATAGTCCTTCAACGCACCGAAAACTTACCATTTGTAAAATATAATCGTTTAGCTACAATACTCCGTGTCGTATGTGATGAACAATCCTGTATAGCTTTTCAGACATAGCTTAGAATACAATATTTTATATCAACCATATAAAGTATTCAAAATGTACCTGAAATATACAGGGTGGGTCTTAAATAAGTGCAAATATGCTCAGGACTGGTAGATCTCAATAAAACAAATATATTTTCTCTTTACCGTTTTTGAATAAGTCCTTTGAAAATAAAAAAAATCATTTTTATATAAAATTTTGAGAACCACTGTATCTTTTCTGGGTTGTCTTTCTTGTAAATTTAATCTACTAACTATGTTGCCATATTAACAAGAAATTATTATATTATCAAGTTTGAAAATTAAAAAAAAATATATTTATTTAAAAAAAAATAATAGTCACCGGATTTTTTCTGTATTTGCGTCTCTTTTAGTGCCATAACCTAGGTAATATTATTAGAGATTACAAAATTATACCGTGGCTAAATTTGCGATGAAAATTAAAAAAAAATGCGCGATTTTCGACATCTTTTTTTTTGCGAAAAAAATCTCATAGACATGTTCCAGAATCACCCCTGAAAATATTTGCACTTATTTAAGACTCAGTCTGTATAAATATTTTTCTTTTAATATGAATATGAATGTAGTAATGAAATTTTCAATTTCGTTCAACCTTGAAATGCATCGATATTCTTGCTCTCTTTATAAAATAAATAAGAAAATTTCTCCTCAACAGGTTAATGACTGGTTTCATTCAGAAAAAAATTAAACGGTAATAAAAATTGACGATAAAACATTTATAGGTAATTTAAATTATCAATACCCCCGTACTGACACTGAACACTGAACAGCAGTGACGAAAGTATACAAGGACCAATAAACAAGAAACCAAATTGTTACCAGTTGTCACCGTTTGCGTCTCAAAAGTGGCTCACCCCTATAACCAGTGGCGGCTCGTGGGTATAAAAATAGGTGAAGATTTTTTTTAAATTGCGCCGCAGGAGAAATTTTTTTTGGCGCATTCACCATTTTGTCAACATTTCTTAAATTATTAGCCATTCAATTATTATAAAATTATTACATTAATTATTATTACATTGTTTACTAAGAAATATTAACCAAAATAAATTTGACTTATTTTTATTACTAACCTTACTAATTTTTGTAAATCAGCTCAATTCTTCTGTTCTCTATTGATGCAAACTTATCAGTAATATCGTCATAAAACGGATTTTCACTCATAAGTTAGTTTAAAAGTTCTTTGTAAAGAAAATTAACAACTTAAATCAACAAAAACCATTAACAAACAACAATAAATAATCAACAACAACTTTACAGTCTATACTCGCCGAAGTAGCCGAATATTAGCATAAAGCAAGACGAAGCGAACTGCCCAAAAACTCATTCACATCGGTCGCCGATAAAAAATTTCGGGGCGAGGGATTTACATGCTGCCGCTAAGCTGACGTCACGTTACCATGGAAACCGTGCAGCCGCTTGGCTCACAAATATTTTCACTTCACTTGTGGCTTCGTCGAAACATAGGCGCATGTGGGCCAATAATGCTACTTTTTCGGCCGGAATTAACGATGCGGTGGTCCTATTATGCAGAGGTCCGCCCGGAAAAAAAAATTTATAAAAAATTACCATTTTATTATTTAGATACATGTAAATATATTAAACTAAATTAATATTTTAAGCAGTAAAGTTTTTTCTTTAATTTGAGTATATTTTTCGGTGAAGTACCCCTTCACCTACTGCACCTGACGAGACGCCACTGCCTATAACTTTTTTATTTTTTCAGATAAAAAAAAAGAAATTTGGTGTGTATGACATAAATAGGACTGATTGATGTATTCAATTGTTTTTGGTCATTTCCTGTTTCACCGGAAATGACTACAACTTTTGATTTTTAAATGGCACCCTCGGTATATTTTTACTTTATTCGATAGAAAATGACACTCTGGATAAAATGTCATATCATATGTCGACTTTTGGCATTTTCGCATATGGTTTATTTGAAATTGTAACATGCGGTTCATAACGACAATTTGACTCGAAATATTAAGTGTGGGGTACCAAATTATTCGTAAAAAATACTTTTTCCAAATATGTTAATGAGCCACCCTTGTTCCATTAAAAAAAATGAGATATGATTAAAAATACGATTTAGTCATTTTTTAACCAGCCAGGACACAAAAGCATTAAACAATCAAATTTATTTTTCCATTGCTCTTTTATTAAAAATTAGTGTTTTAAACACAGCCATGGCACTCTAGAGTGAAATTTAAAATACTCTTTTACTAAGCGAAAATGTCAAAAGTTAACATATCATATGTCATTCTAATCAGAGTGTTATTTTTTATCGAATAAAGTAAAAATATACGGAGGGTGCCATTTAAAAATCAAAAGTTGTAGTCATTTCCGGTGAAACAGGAACTGACCAAAAACCTAATCCTAATTTATGTCACATACCAAATCTCGTTTTTTCTATCTGAAAAAATTTTGAAACGTTCGAAACGCACCCGGTATAATGCGGACTTTATTTAAAATGACACGGATTTGGGATAAAGAATTGATAAATTATGGAAAACATTTTTAATAATCGTATATAGTTATTATTTTGAAAACCTTGTAATTCGTATTTAGACAAATTGCCAATGAATGTGAGTCCCTAGTATTATAATCATTGGCGTAACTACAGGGGTGACCGGGGGTGCCGGGCCCCCCTAGGTACTGCTGGGCGCACCCCTGAGAAGTCTTAAATTATGATTCTTGGCTAAGTATTAATTTTTATTTGCTTGTGATGTAGTAAAAATGACGTTTTCTAGTTTTATTTAGTTAATATTATTTTATTGTGTTCAAAAAATGTGTTAATTTTTACTTTTTAGAAAATTTGTAAGTATTTAAGTACCTAATCTACGGGAACACGGTTTCATAACCAAGTCTATGAAATGTATTGATATAGAAATTCATGTAAACGTTTTATTTATTCAAAAAATGTGTTTCTTTTAATTTTTCTTGTTTTTTTTTAAACAAAAGCCCTATGCCCCCCCTGGGCTTCCCCCAGGATGAATTGCTAGTTACGCTAATGATTATAATAACATTGTATACAGCATTATTTTAATTTTTTAGGAAATTTATACAAGTGGTGACATATTTCTCAAAATACGGCAGTGCCATACCATTAAGTTTTGTCCTTGGATTCTACGTAAACGTTGTCTATAACAGATGGTGGAGTCAGTTTATGACTATACCAGATCCAGATAGTCTAGCCATACAAGTTGGTGCAAATATTCATGGAAATGTAAGAAAACAAAAATGAAAACAAATTATAAATAATTAAATAAAAAGAACTAAGAAAAGAATATAACAAGCTTGATGAGAACACTAAACCGTTTGAATATTAGAGGGGTTAATTACAAAATAATCTCACTATAATACAAAAACTGACAAAAAAGTGCTTAAAATTGACTGCTATGACGTTCACTTCGTTTTTAGTGTATGAATCATAACTCCATTCTTAATATTTTTATTTAGTTGTTTAAATATTAAATAAATTTTGAATTTGAAATAATTAAAATTTCAAACATTGTTTAGGATGAGAAATCCAAGATAATACGAAGAACCATAATCCGATACATTTGTGCCGCTTTTACAATTACTTTGACTATGATATCTCCGAAGGTGAAAAAAAGATTTCCCACTTATCAACATCTGGTTGAAGCAGGATTACTGAATAAAGACGAAAAATTGCTTATGGAAGAACTAGATAAAACTAGTCAGACGTATCGGAAATTCTGGTAATATTTTGGAAATTATTATTACATTTAAGTAATAATTAATATAATTACTAAATAATTATTACACTGAATAGCCGAGATAAAAGAAAATAAATCAATGTATACTGGAATGCATACCTAATGGCACAGAATATCTGCGTAGCTAGATATTCTGTGCTAATGGTATTTTTATGTTGAGCCTTTAGGGTCAAATAATGGCCTAATTTTTAGAACATATACAGGGTGTCCCAGAAATAAGTGCAAGTATTTTAGGGGTGGTAGATCTGGCCAAAAGAAACATATTTTCTCTTTACCATTTTTAAAATATTTGATAATAACCAAGTTATCTAACTTTGAAAATTTAGGATTATTTTTTGAGAAATTAAACTCCTTTTTTTTAAATATCTATACCTACCTATGTGGCGGATTCATCTCTCCAAAAAAAAATCAATATGGGTATTTCACCACTGCAAGAAAATTTACAAAATAAAATAGTTATTTTTTGTAACCACTGCTGGGCGTTAATCTAACGGAAACTACTTGTCAGTTACAAAATTGACTACTACCAAAGAATATTATAATTTCTACTACTCTTTGTTACAAAATTGACAAACAATATAACTATGTTTTAAGCTGTACATATTTTAATTTGAATGAATATTTGTTTTAAATTCTGTTTGTCTATGCAATGAATAATCGTTTTAGTTCACAGGAAATTCTAAATATATGCATTTTGGCAAGTAAACTGATAATTTGTTAACAGAACATGACATATAATTACATACTTCCTGATTTGCAATAGAAAATAAAGTTGGGTTTGAATTTATATAGTCCCATCACGACATATTCGAAATTTTATCACAACAGCACTTAAAATTTTTTTGGTTTGTATGTATTTTTAGATGCCCGGTGGCGTAGAGGTACAGGCGCTCGTCTACCAATCTCAAGATAGTAGGTTCGAATCCCACACCCGGCATTGCATCAGCCGACTATTTTTATTAAAATAAAAATAGTTTGGGTACCTAGGTCGACTCAGCCTTAAATGAGTACTTGGGATTCACAATCCTGAGGTAATATTAGGCGGTTGAAGCGTAGAGTGCTAGCCACATTACCTTCCTTGTATACCGAACGGCTCTAGTATAGCAAGCTGTACCTTGCTAATCCCAAGGCGTTAAACGCTATACAGGGTGGCGCACCTCATTCACCTCGGTTGATTATACGAAAACGGAAAGATGTGGAAACAAAATATTTTATGGGTATATGTGGGGAGTCAATGTACACAATTTAAAATTATTTTGAAATATACAGGGTGTCTCAGAACTAAAATCCATACCAAAGTTATATTTTTTCTTATGGAACATTTTATTTCATTTCATTTTTGGATTGATTCTTGGGCCCAAAAAAAAAGACATTTATTATAAGGGTTAAATATGCTTAAAATCATTGGTTTTTGAGATATTTAAAGGTATTTAAATATGCATGCTACAAGAGAATTGATTATCAACACCCTGTACATTACTTTTCAGAATTAATTCTTGTGCTGAGTTTAAAGACAAAGAAATAAACTTTACTGAAAAATGTTATTGCTTCCTTAAATTTATACAGGGGTACCAAAAATTAGTGATCTATTTTAAGGATTTATTTTACATTAAAACTTTGTTATGCAACACCCTGTATTTTTTTAAATAAATCGAAGCACATTTAAATGCTCTTTCAAACTATATTGGGGTTTCCTATACCTATATGGCTCAGATTTTGAATAAAAAGCTATTTTTAATAAAATGGCAATCAAGATGGCTGGTATCGCCATGGCAATTTTCTAGTGACAGTTAGTAACTATTTTCAAAATCGACATTAGTTTATAGACTTATTTAAATCGATACCAGTTTACGTTTATTTAATTGACCTACAATGTATTTATTATTCTATCAAGGAAAAAGAAGAAGTAGTTCTTTGTTTTATTTTACGATAACTTGTAGATATATTAATTTTTTATAAAAGAGCCAATTACGGCAAATTCAATTTCTTCACTTGCAACGACAGGTTTCTGCCTAATAGGTTTTTTTATAAACGACACTCCCAATTCTGCGAAATAGCAAATAGGACAAGTAGTTTTTCAAAGGAATGCTTATCAGGAAGATTCCTATTTGGATATCTTTGAGTTAGCTCTTGAGGCCAAGAAATAATTTTCCTCACAAAATAAAATCACTAGTAACATATCCATTCGTTCCACCAGCAGATATGGGCTTATTTTTCTTCATAAAATAAAGAATACTTACTTATTAAACTATTGTGGGTAAATTTTAATAAACTGTTTAAATAATAATGTCCAGACACGAATATCGATTTTGAAAATAGTAACTAACTGTCACTAGAAAATTGCCATGGCGAAATTGAAATCTGAGATAGATAGGTATAGCAAACCCTAATATAGTTTGAAAGAGCATTTGAATCTGCTTCAATTTATTTAAAAAAATACAGGGTGTTGCATTTGAAAAAACAAAGTTTTTATGTAAAATAAGTCATTAAAATAGATCACTAATTTTTGGTACCCCTGTATAAATTTAAGAAAATTTAATAACATTTTTCAGTAAAGTTTATTTCTTTACCTTTAAACTCAGCACAAGAATTAATTCTGAAAAGTAGTGTACAGGGTGTTGATAATCAATTCTCTTGTAGCATGCATATTTAAATATCTTTAAATATCTCAAAAACCAATGATTCTAAGCATATTTAACCTTTATAATAAATACCTTTTTTGGATCCAAGAATCCAAAAATGAAATAAAATACCGAGTGTTCCATAAGAAAAAATATAACTTTGGTATGGATCTTAGTTCTGAAACACCCTGTACATTTCAAAATAATTTTAAATTGTGCGCATTACTTCCCCACATATACCCATAAAATATTTTGTTTCTACATCTTTCCGTTTTCGTATAATCAACCGAGGCGAATGAGGTGCGCCACCCTGTATACGGGAACTATTATTATTATTATGTATTTTTAATGCCACATCATAAAAAAAATAAAAAATGTCCAAAAAATAAAAAAATGGGGTGGACCATCCTTATCACTTAAAGGCATAAAAATAGTTAACCTATTCTCAGACCTACTAAATATGCATATAAAATTTCATCAAAATCGAGTATGGTAACTAAGACTGTGACACGAAAATTTTATATATTATTAGAAATAGCCTAGGTAGATAAATAAAAATAATAAAAAACACCTAGAATAATAATAATGAACAGTTTCTTTAGTTACCTTTTTATTTATTATTTATAAAGCCTGTTTTGATCTTTCTGAAAGTCAATCACTACTTGCACTAGCCGCTACCTCTTAAAGCTCAGGCAGGATACACATTTTCATTTCCAGCTCACTAATGTCGCTAATATTTTCACGCTTTTTCCAATTTTACACAAACTTTTTACACACAACCTTCACAGAGCGATAATTTTCTAGAATATGCAGAAAATATGACATTTATTGAAATGTATCACTTTCAATTGTTTTATTGGCTTGTCAACTGAAACCGTTGATTTATTGATTAGTTTAAATAATAAGAAAAATTGCATTTGTAAAGCAATAGTCGGAATAAGACCGGTAATTCTTTAAGATTTACTACAAATCATTCTATACAAGGTGTATCAAGAAAATAATCACCCCTTTACAAGATAAGGGGATAATTTTTGAACCTATTGTAAGAAAAAAATTTCATAGTATGCTTTAAACACTTGAGAGATACCAGGGTGGTAACTTTTTATATTTTTTTTTTATAATAACTCTGCTACTGATATTTATCATGTCATTTAAAAACAACCTGTACATGCATCTATTGAAGGTATAATAGTATCCTTGTTGATATTATAGAAGTGTAGTATCTAAATATTTCAAAAACAGGAAGTCATATACAGGGTTGTTCACCACATACGACACGGAGTATTGTAGCTAAACGATTATATTTTTACAAATTTTAAGTTTTGGGTTCGTTGACGGACTATTAGAGCTACAATTTAGAAATAATTTTACAAGATACAGAGTGTCCCAAATAAGTAAATAACGCTATAGTGTTGTATTTTTTTAAATGGAACACCCTGTATATTATTCTATTTTTAGATTCTACGATTGAAATAAAGGTAAATTTTATTAAGGTTTATTACACTTAAACCTTACCGTTTTTGAAATATTTTCAATTTCGTGAAATTGCAGTAAAAATTTTAGGGCTTATCATTTCTCCAAGGGTATCAAAGTTTTTAATACTAAATATTTACTGAAGTTTATTTATTGATCAGTTATTGTGTTGCAGTAATAAAAATTATACTACCTTATACAGAGTGTCTAAAATTTTATTTTAAATAATTACTAGCTTTAAATGGCAATAACTTGTTTAATTTAAATGGAACGCCCTATATATTTTAGAAGAATCAAATGCATAATTTAATTGTCTATCAAATTGTATTATGCCACTTTTTACCTATCCCTTCAAGTTTTCGTAGAAAATGCATTTTCTTATAATTTAGACCTCATTTATCAATATACCCATGGAATATTGACATTGTAGATTGTTTTTAAAGCAACAAATGTAAAAAATGTACAGGCTAGTAATATTATCGTTTTTAACAAAATGATAATATTACTAGCCCATTTGTATGCAAAAAGAAAACTATTTAAATCTTCATAAAATAGTATACCATTAATTAAATATACCACCATTATTTCTGCCCAAATACTAATTAATTACATACTTAATTATGTTCGTGAATAAATTATTCTAAATAATTGCGGATTTGAATCAGAAATCAATATAATAATAAGTTATAAAAATGAATGTCTCTGTTGTTACAAATAAGCATTTCCAAAAAATGATATATCATTTTTAAGGTGTTACTTTTTACCACACTGTCTAATACACATAAAAAATTAAGTTTTTTAGTTTTTGGAGCAATTATTATTATATCAACGCAAATAGTCAATTAATGTAGTTTGAATACTGGAATCATATTAGTTGGTCCTCTTTAACAAATATTTAAACAGTTTTTTTTATTTTTTAATGAAATAAACAAACTATATCGACAATATTAGTATCTGTACTCTTTAAAAATTTGGTACATCTTTAAAAATAATCTAAAATGTCAGTATTCCATGGGTATATAGATAAATAAATTTAAAATTACAAGAAAATACATTTTCTACGGAAACTTGAAGCTATAGGTAAAAAATGGTATAATACAATTTGATAGACGATTAAATTGTGCATCTGATTCTCATAAAATATACAAGGTGTTCCATTTAAATTAAACAAATTATTGCCGTTTAAAGCTAGTAATTATTGAAAATAAAATTTTAGACACTCTGTATAAGGTAGTATAATTTTTATTATTGCTTTGTTTTTTATTTGCCAAACCAAACACAATAACTAATTAATAAATAAACTTCAGTAAATATTTAGTATTAAAAACTTTGATACCCTTGGAGAAATGAAGCCTTAAAATTTTGACTGCAATTTCACAAAATTGAAAATATTTCAAAAACGGTAAGGTTTAAGTGTAATAAATCTTTATCAAATTTACCTTTATTTTGATCGTAGAAACTAAAAATGTAAAATATACAGGGTGTTCCGCTTAAAAAAATACAACTGTGATGTTTTTTATTTATTTGGGACACTTTGTATCTTGTAAAAATATTTTTAAATTGTAGCTCTAATAGTCCTCCAACGAACCCAAAACTTACAATTTGTAAAAATCTAATCGTTTAGCTACAATACTCCGTGTCGTATGTGTTGAACAACCCTGTGTAGTTGGATATATAGTTGGATTTAAATACAAATTATTGAATATTTATAAAAACACTAAATTCATGTATTCAAACTTTGTAGGTTACCAATTGCCTGGGCTGCCAATGTGGCTTCAAGAGCCAGAACTGAAGACATCATCAAAGAAGATTTGGCTTTAAAGGATATTATCGAAAATATAGACAAATTTAGAGAAAAATGTAAACAACTTATTTATTACGACTGGGTATCCGTACCTTTAGTATACACCCAGGTAAATATACCCTCTAAATAAGCTCTAACACTTTGAAAAAAAAGAAAAGATATATTTATACTATACCGGGTGCGTCTCAAAAGTGGTTCATCTTTATACCTTTTTTATTTTTTCAGATAAAAAAACGAGATTTGGTATGTTTGATTGATTCACGAATTCAAATCTTTTCGGCCACTTCTTGTTTCACCGGAAATGAATACCACTTTTGATTTTTAACGGGCTCCCTCGGTATTTTTTTTTTACTTTATTCCATAGAAAATGAAACTCTGACTAGAATGACATATATATGCCAACATTTGACATTTTCGCTTAAAAAATTGTATTTTAAATTTCAATCTGTGCCATGGCTGTGTTAAAAACATTAATTTTTAATCAAGGAGCCTTGCAAAAATAGTTTTGTGGTCTAATGTTTCTCGTCTCTTGTTCTGGCCGGTTAAAAGATGCCAAATTGTAATTTTTAATCATATCTCAATTTTTTTAAAGGGAACAAAGGTGTCTTATTAGCACAGTTGAAAAAATAATTCTTTTTACGAATAAGTTGGTACCACAATTTCCAATCAAATGGTCATTATGAATCGCATGTTGCAATTTCAAATAAACCATATTCAAAAATGTCAAAAATTGACATGATATGTCATTCTATTCAAAGTATCATTCTCTATCGAATAAAGTAACAAAATACCGAGGGTGTCATTTAAAAATCAAAAATTGTAGTAATTTCCGGTGAAACAGGAAGTGACGAAAAAAAAACTGAATACGTCAATCAATATTAATTTATATCATATACTAACACACCAAATCTCGATTTTTTATCTGAAAAAATTAAAAAGTTATATGGGTGAGCCACTTTTGAGACGCACCCCAAATTATCTACCTATAATGTTTTAGGTTGTAACTTTAGCTGTATATCTTTACTTCCTCTTTACCGTCATTGGGACACAACTTATCGAAGAGGAAAAAGAAGGAGATCTGTTGTTTTTCAAATTTCCTTTTATGAGTTGTGTGGAATTCTTCTTCTATATGGGCTGGCTCAAAGTAGCCGAAAGCTTGATCAACCCCTTTGGAGATGACGATGATGATTTTGATGTAAACTGGATGATTGACAGACACTTACAAGTATATAATATTTTATTTAAATACAGATTTCTTTATCCATTCATTGATTATTTATATAATTGCACATAATGTTGGATCGACTTTACATTCTAACTAGACTGGCTAAACTGCTATAATACAATTAATTTTTAGGTGGGATATCTTATAGTGGATAAAATTCACAGACAACATCCAAAATTGTCGAAAGATCATCACTGGGACCAGCCAACTGCTACACAAATGCCGTATACGTTAGCAACAAAAAAATACATGTTTGACGAACCAGTTGAATCAACTTATGGCATAACTGTCAAGAAAAGTGAACAAGATATGGTTCAAAGAGACGACTCTGTTATAAATGTAAGATTAACCTAAATAACTTCCTTTTTTAATAAAATAATTCAAAAATATTTTTATTTTTAGGGTCCAAGAAAAAGAGGTAAAGACTATGCTTAAAAATGTCATACCAATGCAAGAAAATCTACAAAATAAAATAGTTATTTTTTGTAAACACTTCTGCGTAAACCAAACGGAAACTACTTGTCAGAAGTTAGCTTTACAGATATACAAATTTGCCTAACGAACAAAAAAATGCTTAACGTTTCGGAAAGTTTATCTCTTTCCGTTGTCGGAAGCAAAAAAAAATACAAAGAATAAAGAAAAAACGTATTTAAAATATTTAAATTTAACTATTCGAGAAGACTTTAGTTTTTTAAAACAGATACGTCTACAAAAAACCGTTGACGTTCTGTTAAAAGCTATGACTATGCTTAGTTAAGAGGATCTGATATTTTAACACACAAGTTAACCAAATTTGAAATATTTCAATAAATCCTTGTTATTAAGTAATGCGTAATTAATTTTAGGTGGAATACCATACTTGAGACAATTTTTTTCTAGAAGAAATTCAGATCCAGGAATAAAGTTAAAAAGAATTTCAGTACAAGACAAATTAACTGAAAATACTGATAATGAGTGGGATGAGGTAAAGAAATATTTATAATAAGGTTATATAATAAGATACCATACTATCGAAAAAAAACGGCGTCAAAGACGTCTGAGGAATGACAATCGATGACAATTTTTGGCGAGGTGCCAAATACTTAGCCGGTACTCTTCTTTATTTTTTAATGGCGTCCAGCGACTGACCTCGACAAAATTATCATCTATTGTCATTTTCCCAGCGGTCTTTGACGCCATTTTTTTCGATCATACGGTATAATCCACTTATTAACTAACTTATCTGATTTTTTTGTACTAAAATTCTTGTTATATATATTTATATTTCTCTTTATTTCAGCGTAATTTTTATGAAGATGAATCAAAAGTTGCTGTATTACCACAAAGATACAAAGAAGGTTCTTAACTGTTTGAAAATGCTCAAAGATGGTATAAAAGAGGATAGAGAGGATTTAGATCTAGTGTTACAGTCTCATGATAATATATAAATATCATATCACTGGGGAGAACCTTAATATGTAGTTTGAAGTTATTATTTATTGAAATGTTCTGTCTTCAAATAATAAAATGTTCCTAATAAAAGAAAATGTCAATACAACTGACTAAATATTTTATTTATTATTTATTCAACGTATACTGACACGCGTCTGCTAGTATTTTAAATTGTCCTCTTTTTGATAGCAAAATAAAACACTAATTCGCCACAATACGCCAATTGAATCACTTTTGCACTGGACTCCTGTTTTGTTAACCATGTTAGCATCATCAGCAAATGATTAAAGCTAAAAAATTAAATAAATTTATTTCTTTTTTTTTAGTTTTAATCTCATGTTAGCATCGTCTGCTGATGATGCTAACATGGTTAGCGAAACGCGTGTCCAGTGCAAAAGTAATTACATATACGGGACCATAGATAAATGAAACAAGTTTAGATTTGAAAGTGTCCATAAGGACAATGTAAAAACTATTTGGCGCTATTCTTGCAACGGTCGCGATCCAAAGCTTTTGATAATTTCGGATCGGCTCGGCTTTTTCCGGAATTATGTCGCCAAATATTGTTTATTCAAATTTATTATAATGTTCTTTTAATTTTATAAATAAAATACAGTGTGTTGCATACAAGAAACTTTATTTTATATAAAGACATGTATGTGAAATACCTATAAAACATTGGAAACCGACGTTATGCCACTATCCACGATGGTTTTTGCAATTCACAGTTCACAACACAGTTTTTTAATTTTTAATGCCACTTTTTTACAATTATCACGGGTTTGAGTAAGTAAAATTTAAATTGAACTCACAAGATAGCAATAATTATAATTACTTTGAGAATGGATGCTTTAAACACGTTTCGGTATTTTTTCAATGAGGGCGGTTTAAATTTTGAAAGATTTTATAATTTTTGAAGATTCTGACTTTGATAACTGGAAATTATTTCTGTTATATTGTTTGGCAGTTGTTCTTAACAACCGCTATAACAGCGCCAGATCGCGTACAACGGCCGCGCTCCAAAACAATTATATCTAATAAAGTATCTAATATATTTTGACGGCATTTCCAATCTAAATACGTGACAACAATGCAAAATGGCAATCAATACAAATTTCAAATTTGGATTGATTGACTATACATAGACAAACTAAACTAAATGACAGACTATAAATAGGTTAAAATTGCGTATATTAGATTTTGGAAGAATTATAAAATAAAACATAGAGGCACAGAATATCTAGCTACGCAACAGAAAAATACTCGAAATGAAAGAGCTAAAATTGCACAAATAAAATACTAGATGGCGCGACAATATCATAATCAGAATGTAATTGGAAATTTTTAAATTTCGGTTTTGGATCGACGGCACGTCGACGACTTTGAAGCTCGGCTAAATATGCACAGTTGCCAGATAAAATAAAAAGACCTTAATTGGCATCTATTGGCATCCCATTCTTTTTCTGGCGTATAATAATTTCTTTCTATTCTTTGTTTCTTGTCAGATACACTTACATTAATTATTCGTTTGGCTTTTAAAATAGTTTTAAGTTTAATAAGTATATTATTAGAAAACATATGCTCACAAAATACATTTTTAATATACACTACTTTATTATGTTAACTAAGAAAATAACTTTAATTACCTTTAAAATTAATAATATACAGGGCGATTGATAGTGATATTTATTAATGCTGAAATGTTAGTAATGAAATATACGTTTAATAATAATGGAAATAATTTATTAAAATGCAGTACAAGAAATGTTAATTGACTAAAAGAATACTATAACAAATTTTTTTCTGTTTGCCACCTTCTTTATATAGACCTAGGTAGATTTTAAAAAGTGACACAAGGACAATTAATAATATAATAGTTCGGCATAAAAGTTGCTGTCACGACATTGTACAATAAATTTAAATTCGTAAAATAAATTAAAATTGAACAAATCTTTATAAAGAAACGCAAGTATACCAAATTTGGGCCCAGTCGAACTCCAGGAAATGATATCATAATATTGTACTATATTATGGTACCACTCGATATGCTCCATAATGTTGCAATGTCACCGAAGATCCGCAGTATACCAAATATAAGCACAATCGAACGCCAGGAAATGGTATCGTAATATGGTACTATATTAAGGTAGGTACCACTTTATATGCATCATAGTACCATCATATTACAATGTCACCGAACATACGTAGTATACAAAGTTTAAGCCCAATCGAACGCCAGGAAATGGTATCGTAATATGGTACTACATTATGGTACCTCTTGATATGCTTCGTGGTACCATAATATTGCAATGTCATCAAAAATACGCAAGTATATATCAAATATGAGACCAATTGAACGTCAGGAAGTGGTATCATAGTATGGTACTATAGAAGGTACCACTTTATATGCTCCATGGTACCATAATATTACAATGTCACTGAAGATACGTAGTATACCAAGTTTAAGCCCAATCGAACAACCTGTATCGTAAGAATAATTCAACAGCTAACCAAGGTCCCAGCCGTTGGCCGTCGAGGCCGCCTGACTTAGTGCTCATGGATCTAATCCTATGGATATATTTGCGGAAGAATAAAGGTTCCTTATTCTTCCGCAATATTACGGTATCACTTGATATGCTTCATGGTACCATAATATTGCAATGTCATGAAAAACACGCAAGTATATATCAAATACGGAATACCGTATGACACCAAAAAAAAGCAGCGTCCAGTTGGCTGGGAAATGACGATCGATGACATTTCCCATATAAATTGACAGCAATTTTCATTTCATAGCCATCGCTAACGCCGCGCCGTTTTTTCCCGATCATACAGTATGAACACAATCGAACGTCAGGAAGTGGTATCATAATAGTAGAACAATACTTATTATATTGTCGCCGAATTACAATCAAAATTCAGGATTCAATTACAATCAAACGTCGCAAAGTGATTGTAATTCAGCTCGTAAGATTCAACTCCAACTAACATGGCAAGTTAAATACCTAAACGTTTGAAAAAAGTGCTCTGATCTATTTTAATATTGTTGCGGACCCGTACCGTGTGAACTCGGCCTTAGGCTTCAGGCGCCTGCTATGACTCATACGCCCACCGACGTTCGAAGAACGAATAAGAATTTACTAGACAAGTCTGGACTGTCTGTTTCTCTGGTATATAAACCGATGCCCGAAACCTGAAGGCTGAAGGGGATAGAGATAAATAACCGATCGACGCGTAGAGTTACAATCGCCGCGCTAATTCAAAATAAATTTCTGTTAGATAAATAATTAGATAAATTGTAAATAAGTTATAAATAGTTCTTTAAGTCTTTTAATGGTTATTGTTTTTGTTAATTAGTGTTAAATAAATAGTGTTTAAATAAATTGTGGCTTTCTATCCACACGGAACCGACGAAAAACGTAACAATTGGTGTCAGGTGTGGCGTGTGTGATAGACTAGAAAAATAAAAAGACTAACAATGGCTCCGAAGAAATTGTTGAAAGACTTGAAAGTGTCCGAACTGAAATTTGGATTGGTGGTTAAGTTAAGTTAATAACATGGCGATAGATTTGCTCTGCCCAATTTGCTCGAAAAAGATAGGAAAAACGGGATATAAAATACAGTGTTGTGGTAAATGTGCGAGATGGGTTCATCTTACATGCACTCCAATAAAAAAGGAGGACCTGGAAAGCAAAAGGAGGACAAAAATCCAATGGATTTGCAACACATGCAAAAAGTTTGAGGTTAGTGAACCCTCTACTTCTTTTAAGAACAATGGGGCTACTATATTGGACTCCTATTCTTCTGAAGACGACAATGGCTCCGACGACGAGTACTTATCGGTCACATACATACATACATACTGCCATTACTCGCTGACGAGTATTTGACACGCATCAGAAGATGGTCACGCAAGGCGTTTTCTTTCATGAGCCTTTCTGTGACTGAAAAGCCCAATACGTGATGTTATTTGTCTACCGCACTCCGGACATTCAAAAATCTCATTGCTTTGTTGCCTCTTAACTTTTTGGTTCTCACTGTTAACTGAGTTTACAATTCTTCTCCATTGAGTTCTATTGTGAGCTGCTACTTCCCACTCATTCTGCACATTAATCCCCTTTAAGTTTTCGTGGAAAATGTCCTTGTATCTTTTGAGTTGTCCACCTGGCCTCCTCTTACCGTCTACAAGCTCACCGTAAAGCAGTGATTTTGGTATGCGGTTTCTTGCATTCTGCATACGTGACCAGCCCATCTTAATCGGGATTTTGTAACCATGACTTCAATACTCTCGCAGTTAGCTTTTTCAAGAACCGATACGTTTGAGACGTGATGGAACCATTTAATTCTTAAGAGTTGTCTAAGGTGTCTCTGTTGCAACTTGTTTAATGCGTTCATGTGTCGGCGGTACGGCACCCAGGTTTCGCTCCCATATAACATGGTGGGGATTATTATTGCTCGGTACACTGCAAGTTTCGTTTTTGTGCTCAGGTCATGGTTGTAGAAAACCCTGTCTTTTAATTTCCAGAATGCTCTTGAGGCGCTGCTAATCCTGTGCTGAATTTCAGAGTCGATATTGGCCTTTTCCGAAATCAAACTGCCGAGGTAATTGAATTCCGCTACATATTCCAATAGTTCTTCTCCGATTTTTATAGCATTGTTGTGATCTTCCGGGGGAGTGCACATGATTTTAGTTTTGTCGATGTTTAGCTTAAGGCCCAAAGCCTCGTATGCCCAGGTGTTCAACATTTCTTGTAATTGCTGTACAGTTTTTGCAACTAGAACGCAGTCATCAGCGTATTGAAGTTCTGTGATGAATTTTGTACGTGTTTTTGCCCTGAGTCTTTTTATGTTGAACAGACCGCCATCATATCTGTATCTAATGCCCAGTCCTCTCTCCTGCAGTTTGCTGTCCACTATAATGGAGAGCGCTGCCATGAATATGTTGAATAGGAGAGGCGCTAAGACACATCCCTGCCTAACTCCTGTATTTGTCAGAAAGGGATCGCTTAGTGATCCATGATGTGACACTCTTGACTGGTTGTTGTTATGGAGGCTTTTACACACTGTAAGAAATTTGTTGGGTACTCCGAACTTTTTCATAATTGCCCA